CTCCCCGAGCTGTTAGTGTTCTCAATTCATCTATTGCATAAATGGTCTCCCCACCATTGATTATAACCCTAAGAGTTCTAAATTTACTTTAAATATTCTACTTTAAGAAACTCACAACACTTTATGAATCATATTTGATTAAATTCAATACTTAATACATTTATAGATATAGGGCCTGTTTGTTTCACAGTTTAAAACCAAGTTTGCGAATGGTTTGTTTCACCAATGTGCTAATGCAGTTTGCAAGTGCCGTTTCGCGGCTTAATAGGAACATGAACATGAATATTGTTTCGTGGTTCGCTGAGTTCGCATATCTTCTACCATTCTTCACGCAGCGCTTTCCCCAATCCGCAAGCATGGGGCATTCCTCCTTGCTGAACTCTATGAATCACTCAAAGCTGTAGAACCACGAGGTGAAGGAACCACCCAATGTCCTCTCCTCTGAAGTATTTATTCTCCCCGAGCTGTTCGTGAACAACGAGCCATTTTGACAGCTCTATTGATAGAGATCAAAGTCAAACCCATTTTAATTAACCTTTTTGTCAACGAAGTAAGCCCAAAAGCTGGCAAGGACGCAGGCGTCGGGATCAGAGGGGAGGAGTGGGGTTCTTCTTCTCCGCCCATCTCCGCGAGATTCTCCTAGCACTTGTAATATTAACTTTTTTTTTTAAATTAATTTTCTAAAATGTAACATTCTCTTTAATCTACAATTTAATTTAGGTAACATAGTTAAAAAATATAATCTTACATACTTTGAAAATACTTATGAATTAGAAAAAAATATTAACTAAGTGATGTTACAGACATTTGTCCACATACAATCCTTTTAAATCTGTATCTTTCAAATTGACCAACTGCTTCTTTGGGATCATCTTTTGAACAATAAGTTTTGAACTGAGATTTCATACAACTACAAACAAAACAAACACACTCATAATCTACTGTTACCAGCACATAAATCTTACATAAACGAGATACAAATGGCTCCATGAAATCTATTCCCTAAAAAATCATATACGTCAATCTCTAAAATATAATTTGAGGGCATCTCAACTCTTCCAGAAATATTGTCCCCCCTTTGATTCCAATAATATTTCTTAACATAATCATTAACATTCTTAAATAGAGTTGCTCAGTAAAATCCATATGGTAAAATATGAAAATCAGTCCTAAATCCTAGGAAATACCCTCCAACTTTGGAACCACGACAGACTTTAAAAATCTCATGTAGTTTTTCTTGTAAGTCAACTAATAATTTGATCATTACATTTTTTAAATAAGTAGGGTTCATCCTAAAAGTAAAATCTGACATAATGTGGGTCGAGGTAATTTTTCTATAACTTGAATTATAGCCTGATCTCCATCTTTTTTCTCTCATAAATTAGCATAAGGACAATCCCTACACAAACCATAAATTGACACTTTTCCTAAATCAACATGATTAGTCTCTTCACACCTTTGCAAAACTTTTACAAAGTGTTCAATACATGCATCAAAGAATATGACAAATACAAAGAAATCATACATAACAACTTCTATCCCCTTTTCTATCAAATCTAAAAAGATCATCATCATACATCTCTGAAAAAGTAGTATGGGCGTTAGATTGTCCAAAAAGCATTCCCTTGAAGACAAAAGTTACATATGGACTGGTAAAGGTGATATTATCCTGACCTTTTGGAGCTATAAGAATTTGATGATAATGATAATAACCATTTAGAAAATAGTAAATAAAGGTGCCTTGCTATTCTACTAATATTTAGTCAAGAAAGGGTAAGTGGAAATGATCTTTTTTAGTGGCTTTATATGACTTTCTGCAGTCTAAGCATAATTTCTGCCCTGTGACACTCCTAGTGAGGTCTAAGTTTTTTCTGGTCATTTTCCACTACTATAACCCATCATTTCTTAGGGACAATGTATTGAGCTAACCCATGCACTTTGGAAAATAGGGTAAATAATTTCTACATGTAGCTAATCACTTTAATATTTTCTTTTTCACACTTTTTTTATAACAGGGGTCAACCAAATTACAAGAGAAAAAGTTGAGAGTGTTGAGAATTTTAGGAAAGCTTTTGGGTGGACTATATCATATATAAATGGTATAAGCTATTCATTATGCATGCATACAATTTTGATGAAAAAAATCACCAACACAAATCTGAACCCCAAAGTAGGTTGAAATACCATTTATATCTGCTATAGTACACCCAAAAGCTTTCCTAAAATTCTCAACACTCAACTTTTTCTCTTGTAATTTACTTAATTTAGAAGAAATAATGACGAGCAAACTAGAATATTCTTCTAAAAATACAAACTGCAATTGTTATTGGAGAACCTTAAGTTCTATTTTAGGTGCTTCAAATATATATGGTATTAAGAGTTTAGCATTAGTTCAGGTGTCTTAAATATCATACCTATCCCAAATCACTCTAGGGATTGCTTGTAAAAGTAGTGTAGATTCTTCATTAAGGTCTTTGTTTTCTTCTTCTATCACTTATTGCTCTACTGAGCCAACTTCAAATGTGTCTTGAAATTGTCTTTTAATCAACTCATTCACCAAATCCAACATATAACATGAATTATCACTAGAGTCATGGGGCTATCTAATTGATTTTAAACTATTGAGTGTCACCTCTTGATCAGCAACTCTCATAGTCAACTCCTTCTTTTGGATATCAAACATTGGCCTTCTTGTGGCTAGAAAATGTCTAAGATTATTGGGATTTTCTTATCTTTATCCATTGCCAGAACTATGAAATCAACAAGGAAGATAAATATATCAACCTTAACCAAGAAATCTTCTATAACCCCTCTAGAGTAAGTCAAAGATTAGTCAACAAGTTGAAGGGTTACAGTGGTAGGTTGGACTTATCCTAGTCCTAATCTCGTGAAAATCAATAAGGGCATAAGATTTATGTTGGCTCTTAAGTTACATAAGACTTTTCCAAAAAAAGATTACCTCCTAAAGCCAATGAGATGATAAAACTACCGGGGTACTTAAGTTTCTGAGGGAGTTTCTTTTAAAGAATCACACTACACTCCTTGCTTAGTGTTACAAACTCAAAATATAGTTTTCTTTTCTTATTAAGTTTAAATTTCAAGAATTTAAAATAACTAAACATCTATTCTAAGGCTTCAACGAAAGGAATGTTAATTGTAAGCTACTTAAACACTTCCCAAAATCTCAAGAATTGTTGACCAAACTTATGTGAGTGAAACTTATAAAGAAAGGATGGGGGTGTTCTTTCTGGTTCTATTTGAGGAGGTGAGTATGCTTTTTCTAAGTTCGTGGTAGATTTGTCAATAAGTATTACGGGCTCAGAGCTACAATTTGACTCTGCAATTGATTCCCATTTGCAACACAATTTTTTTCAAAGATAACATCATTTCCTTAAAGTGTGTATTTTAAGGAATTCTGGTGGGTAAGTCCGTCTTGGGTTGCTCCTACACTAGTTATTCCAATTACCTACTGATTGGGTTGGTTGCTACCCCACTGTTTGTTTCCTACAGTTTAATTATTTTTCGAGTTATTATTCTAGCTTGGGTTGTAGATGTTGGAATATGGGATATTGAATCTATTGATTATAGCTTTAATGAATTCTACAGACAAAACACTAAGATCAACTAGTTCTCCACAAACATTTTCCTCTTTTACTGCTGATCCTGGTACAAAATTCAACCTTAGACGCTCTAACTTCTTAGAAGCTAATAGAGATGATAAAATTACTAAAAGGTCTTTTTGGTATCTTGGACTTGTCAGTGAATTTACACAATCAAAGAGAAAGATGCAAAAGAAATTTAAACCACAAAGAACATAGAAAAAAAAAATCAGAGAGACAAGTATCGGCAATCTCAATTCTCATGATCCACTTCTTGATAAAATTACTAAAAGGTCTTTTTGGTATCTTGGATCCGGACTTGTCAGTGAATTTACACAACCAAAGAGAAAGATGCAAAAGAAATTTAAAGCACAAAGAACATAGACAAAAAAAATCAGAGAGACAAGTATCAGCCATCTCAATTCTCATGATCCACTTCTTGTATTACATTTATCGCCATTCTTTATTAAAAGGTTGGCTTATATATTACAAATAATTCATTTATTGTACAAAAATCTCAAGAACCATTTATTTATCCTCTGTCTTCTTCTCTAACTTGTCAGGGTAATTCACGCTAGAAGTTGTCTTATCCCCTTATTTCATCTGGCATGAGCATGTAATATTTTATAACACCTTGCTTAATAATTGCTCCACATTAATACTTCTCTCTAGGCATTCTCTTCTCTTGCTAATGGTTCAATGGCCTTATCCTTTATATTCTTTTATAACTTCTCAGCCTATTGTCCATGAACTGTGCTAAAAAGGTCTTTCTATTCACCTTGATTGAGTTCACCGTCAAGAACGCCGCACATTCCTATTTGAGTTGATCGCCAAAGCGATTGGTCGATCTGATGTGGTGAAGTAGTGGAGGTCAAACATCTTGGTGACCTGTCCTATCAGATTTCTTAGTCAAATTGCTTGGGCGGATTGCCCTAGCCAAAAACGTTTCACGAGCTTAACAAGTTGAACTTATTCCTTGAATCTGGTCTGCGAGCTTTTAGTCATACACAGCATTTCAAATTTATATTCTACACTTATATATACATACAAAGATAGGTTAAGTCTCAATTGGATCATAAGTAAACATTATTGAGGTTTTTTACATTACACTTCTTCAACTTGATTTCATTTATAAAAAAACCAGGCATTCCACTATAAAAATGCAACTCCTTTAAATTATTAAGAAAAAGGCAGCTATCACCATAACTACAGAAATTAAGATCAGTACTTAGCCTAAAGATTTTAAAACTGCAATGCTATGCAAGAACTTCACAAAAAACAGACGTGATTGAGGCATAAATTTAGATTGTAACCTTCATCAATCTTGAAACTTTGTCAGATGGTTCTTTTTGCGCACGTAAGTTGGTAGATGTGGACTAACTATGTTTTTTTTTCCTTCAGCATCAAAATATACAAATCAGAAAATCAGTGTCGGTGTTGTGACACCATACACTGCACAGGTGCTCGCAATCAATGAAAAAATAGGAAAAAAGTATGATTTATCAAACTACTTTTCAGTCAAAATTAGATCCATTGATGGTTTTCAAGGTAGTGAAGAGGATGTTATTATTATGTCGACTGTAAGATCAAATAAAAGTGGATCAATAGGTTTTCTCGCAAATGCTCAAAGATCAAATGTTACCCTTACAAGAGCTAAGTATGTTTCTTCTTATCATTCATTTATTCAATTAGGCAAGATAATACCACCATCCACGTTATCCTGATGCATTTAATATTAAATGAAAGGCATTGTTTGTGGATTTTGGGAAATGATGGAACCTTAAGCAGCAATGAAAACATTTGGTCAAAACTAATTTGTGATGCAAAGAAACGAAGTTGCTTCCACAATGCAGAAGAAGATGGTGATCTGTCAGATGCTATATTTAAAGCATGCATCGAGTTTGATGAGATTCACAATTTGTTGAATATGGATTCTCTACAAATAAGTAAGACTAAGGTATGCTGATTCTACAAGCTCTAATTTCGTTAATTAAGTTGTAAATTATATTTTCCCTTTCTCATAACGTTCCACTTTGCCTGCTTTAACTATCGGTTAAATTTGGATGTTTTTTTTTTCTCTGTAAATCATAGAGCAAGTGCATTTTATTGAATAAATGAGAATTTGTTTTAACAATAAGGTATTTAAGCATTCTTCTACAATACACAACTCAAACTTCAGTCTCATCAGAATAAATCCATTTTTGGAATGGAAATCACATGTTTAATAGTTAAAAATGCCATTAAAATGGCGAGATTAACCCAGTTAATCCATCAAGGTAATTTTGATATTTAGAAGGAAAAACCTAGGGCAAAGAAAAAAGAAAATTTTAGCTGGCAAATCATACCACTAACTCTTTTCTTTATGCCATGATAACAGAGAGCATCTGATCTCGCAACCAGTTCAAATCAAAGACGAAGCTTTGCTCGAGGAAGAATGAAGGACAAGCGTCCTATTTTCTGATGTCCCAGAAATTCCCATCTATTTTGAACTTCTGGTAGAAATACTTGCTTCTACTCAAAGAGAAGAAATGGTCCATGACATGTATGAATGATTTTTGGTACTCGTCAAAAAGAAAAATTAGCTATTTATCGTTCTGGCATCTTATGTTTTTAAACTCTCAAACATGTCAGATTCAAGAAACCAAAAAAGGAAATATTAAATTTTGAGTTGTCTTATAAATTGACTGATTAGGGGTTGTTTGGGATTTTTTTTTTTTTTTTTATTTTTTGTTTCTTGTTTTTGAAAAAAAAAAACAAAAAAAAAACCGTTTTTTTCATGTAATTTTTAATGTTGTTTTAAAACATGAGTGGTTTTTTTTAAAAAAAAAAAACAGAAGACATGTGAAACGTGCTTTCTTTGTTTTATTAACTCAATAATTTTAATATTTAATTAATTTCAATTAATTAACTTGAGACTTATTAGTTATTTAAATTCAATTAATAATTATAAAATTAAACTATTTAACTTCATAATTATAAATTATAATTAAGTAATAATTTCAAATTATAATTTAAACTTGATAATTATTTAATCTCAATTAACAAGTTTATTAGTTAACTTACTAGTTATAATAATCATAACAATTTCTAAAAATAGAAAACAGAATAATAAGATTATTGATTGAAAAACAAAAATAAAAATAAAAAACAGATTACTCCCAAACAGGCTATGCTTAGGACATTTTATGCAATTTTAATTATTGTTTAACTTTTGCTTTTAAGCAATAATGATATTTGATGAAAAGGATGATGTCAAACAAAATAAAATAATATGTTTAAAAATTAAAAAATACCTAAAAAAACATGTTTTATGTTTTTGAAAACATAAATCATAACTTTTTCTAAAAAGACTGAAAAATAAATCTAAAAAAAATAGAAAGTGATCCCAAACATGCTGCACTTAGAACAGTTTAAGCAATTTTAGTTATTTTTACTTGTTTTTTTAAGCATTAATGTCACTTGATGATCATGCCTATCAAAATAAATTCGAAAAATGGATAATGTCAAATATAACAAAATAATGAGTTTATTTTTTACCAGGAGTGAATAAAAATAGTGTCAACTTTTAGTCGAATATGACTAATCAAAATATTTTTTTATTAAAAAACACTTGAATTCAAAATATTTTTTAATTACACAATATTAAAGTAATCTACTCTCATGGATGTCATCACTTTACTTCAACCAAAAGTTATCAAAAGCCTATTAAATTACTTAAAAGAGTATATCGAGTCAATTGCTTTTGGACATTGCTCAATCATAGTTAATGTTGGCATAGACCCACCGAATATCACTTGGTCTTAGAAAGCAGTTTGAATTCATGTTTAAAGTTTGTATTTGGATTTGACTGAAAAAGATCAATCATGACCATTGCTAACTCACCAACTCAGTAGCTTACTAATTAGTCTATTTTCATGTTGTGAATCAAACTCGTAGGAACTGCAAATTCATCAAGTTGAGTTAGTGTTGATCCAACTCAAAAATAACTAAACTAACCTTACACTGACAAAAGCTCAACAAATAAAGAATTTTTTGCTTTTTTAGGGCGTGGTATTGAAGGCATTGGCGGAGGATATATAGAGAAACTTGTGCATAGCTGAACCTCGATTAACTTCAATTTTGCTAAAGAAGAAATCAATTCTATTCAAATCCACCACACAAAGGAACATCCAGAGCGACGTATTAACATAAATTGAAGTCTTATCCCCTACTTGACATGCCACAAACAAAAAAAGAAGAAAGTGAATCGAGCAAGTGAAAAATAAAACCGCTAAACATGGATTCTTTCCCCATTGTCCATCATTCATCTAATCAAGCAGTCCAAAACTATATTCACTAAAGAATTGCTTACAAACATTAAATGAAATCTTTAATTTTTCATTTGTAATCTCTTTCTCCATTTTATTGTTGGCTAGAAAAAAATTCAAAAATGAAAAATGTTTTTACATAATTTATATCTAGATAAGTAGAGCATATGTTAAAATTTATTATGTGCATCCATAATCTAATTCATTAAATGTTAGAGAGTGTGGCCTTGTATTATTGTTCAGGGTATTTAATTTCTTAAATCAGGGGGAAAAATGACCTTCACTAGAATTAATTTCTTATGAAAAATTTACAGTAAGACAATTAAAATTGATAGAATATTGAATCAACTTTGTATTTTCAAGGGCATAATTTCATGAAGGAAATAAAAGGAACATACCAAATTTGAAAAGCAAAACAGCATGGCTTCCAATGCTTACTAATTTAGCATATACAATCTTGACATGAATAAAAACAAGCATGAAAGGACATTATAAAGTATGTTTCAACATATAAATAAAATAAAAGCACAACATAAATTCATGATTGGCTACAACACAACCAATCAAAAAACAACACATTCAACCAATTTATGTTTGCCAACTTGCACCAAAAAAAGTCAAAAAAAATGAAAAATTACAATTTGCTCGTACGGTTAGAGATCAGATAATTTTCTTTTTTACAGCCACAACCGGATGCAACCACAAAATGAGAGGGGATAATATGTTTTAGGATAATGACAGTTTTTCATAAGCTATATGCTCCTAGATTTGGCATCTTATACAACTTCCCTTGTCATCAACACCAAAAAAGGAATGAGATAGCTCATAGTACTAGACTCACCCAAAATTTCAGGTAGATACAAACTTGGGTTTTGGTTGGAGAAATTGTCTTTGGAAGTTGTCTTCCACCTGCTCAAGGTTTTTCTTCCTCCTAGTGTACACACAAGGTTCTTTATTGTGAACTTCAAGTCGGATTGGTTGGATATCCCCAACAAGAGTAGGAGAGTCAGGTGGAACGGGAGTAGGAAAAGTAGTAGGTGGGTTTGTTTTGTAGGTTTCATCATCCCAAAACATCATCCCAAAATTGGTGTTCATTTGCACTCCCCTTGAAAATCAGATTTGGGATAGTATTTCTGATAATAGGGGAGCAACACTTCTACACCTTTTTGTTAAAGACATACCTAAGAAAAATATAGTTGATAAATTTAGGATTAATTTTGATGCATGTTGGAGAATGAATGTAGACAAAAGATACAATTTTAAGTTGTATGGTAGAAGAGAAAGCTCTGATGTGTGGATAAGTAACCATCAAATTATGAAGTAGCTTTTTGAAGTTAACTACTTTACTAGGCATTCGATTGATAAGATATATTGCAGTAAAAACTGTTTCCCCAAAAAAATATTTTAGAACTTGATGAGAAATTATAATTGAGCAGGATACCTCATGTACAAGTTTGTTTTTTTTCTCTTTGTTATCTCATTTTATTATGGGGTATCAATACATGAACTCAGACGAATAATTTCATTTTTTGAAAGATAAGACTCAATGATAGAGTTGAAATATTGCTTTGCATTATCAGTTTTGAGGATTTGAATTTACATTGGAATTGAGTTTGAAATATGTCACAAAATGTTTGAAAGATCTGGGTTGTTTCAAATTTTTCCTTCATTAAGAATGTCTAAGTAGTTCTAAGACAAACCATCTAGCCCCACTTAGAGTTGTCCCCAAATATCACTGTAGACGATGAAAAAATGATGAGAGGGTTTATACTGAGTCATGAGATAACTAATTTTAATGTGTTTGGCTAGTTGACAAATCTCACATTGATGGAAACTACATTTTTTATTGAGAATAAATGTGAATAAAACTTAGCAAAATTAGGATGACCCAGTCTGTGACGTAATGACATGACTTATTTTTTGACAAATATAAACTCAACTGACTCAAAAATTTGAAATATATGAAGATGGGATCAATTGTGTTTAGAGAGAGATTTCCCTTGAACAGGTATGTCTTAGTACAGTTTAGCACTGCCAGTTAGCTTCCCCGATTCTACCACCGAAATTTATAAGAGCTTGCATAGAATTTGGTTATACATTTAATATGCCAAATCTAGGGCAAATGAGAACTAATTATGTTTTTTTTTCTTCCTGCAGCATTAAAATGTACAAATCAGAAAATTAGTGTCGGTGTTGTGACACCATACACTGCACAGGTGCTCGCAATCAACGAAAAAATAGGAAAAAAGTATGATTTATCAAACTACTTTTCAGTTAAAATTAGATCCATTGATGGTTTTCAAGGTAGTGAAGAGGATGTTATTATTATTTCGACTGTAAGATCAAATAAAAGTGGATCAATAGGTTTTCTCGCAAATGCTCAAAGATCAAATGTTACCCTTACAAGAGCTAAGTATGTTTCTTCTTATCATTCATTTATTCAATTAGGCAAGATAATACCACCATCCACGTTATCCTGATGCATTTAATATTAAATGAAAGGCATTGTTTGTGGATTTTGGGAAATGATGGAACCTTAAGCAGCAATGAAAACACTTGGTCAAAACTAATTTGTGATGCAAAGAAACGAAGTTGCTTCCACAATGCAGAAGAAGATACTGATCTGTCAGATGCTATATTTAAAGCATGCATCGAGTTTGATGAGATTCACAATTTGGTGAATATGGATTCTCTACAAATAAGTAAGACTAAGGTATGCTCTAAGTATGTTAATTAAGTTGTAAATTATATTTTTCCATTTTCATAATGTTACACTTTGCCTGCTTTAACTAGCGGTTAACTTTGAAGAAATGAGAATTTGTTTTAACAATATGTTATTCAAGCATGCTTTTACAATCCACAACTCAAACTTCAGTCACCATAACTGAGAGAAAGCAAGTCTCATCAGAATAAATCCATTTTTGGAATGAAAATCACATATTTAATAGTTAAAAATGCCATTAAAATGACGAGATTAACCCAGTTAATCCATCAAGGTAATCTTGATGTTTAGAAGGAAAAACCTATGACAAAGAAAAAAAAATGTTTAGCTGGCAATTCATAACACGAACTCTTTTCTTCATGCCATGATAGCAGAGAGCATCTGATCTATCCACCAGTTCAAATCAAAGGCAAGGTTTTGCTCGAGGAAGGACGAAGGACAAACGTCCTATTTTCTGATGTCCCAGAAATTCCCATCTATTTTGAACCTCTAATAGAAATATTTGCATCTACCAGAAGAGAAAAAATGGTTTATGACATGTATGAATGATTTTTGGTACTTGTTAAAAGTAAAATTAACTATTTATCATTCTGGCATCTTATATTTGCAAGCCCACTCAATTAC